AGGGTTTCAGGGTTTAGGGCTTGTAGCTTAAGAACTGCCTCATGCATTATGTCACTTATGTTGGCTTTCTAGTTTAAGAGTTACGGGCTTTCAGAGTTGTTAAGGGTTTCAGGATGGCCGCAGGAACTTTGCTGGCTGTTTGAGGAACCGCTCCGTGCATGAACCTCAGAACCCAAAGAACCCAATACCCCTTNNTTAAGGCCCCTATAATGTAAGGTATATTCCTTAATTAAGGAGTATTGGGTTCTCTGGGAACCCAAGGTTGTGGTGGTCAGAAGCTGGTTCGGATTGCCTATATGTACGAATGCCAAGACTTCGAAGATTGTTTAGGGTTTAGGGGTTTAGGGTTTAGGGTTTAGGGTTTATGTCGAGACAGGCTGTGCAGATGCTGCTTGAAACCGGGCCTCTCTAATTCACGAACAATGCCAAAACATTGCCTTCGGTCCAGCTCATTTAGGTGCTTCGAGGCATAAAGCCCTTGATGCTAACAGAAGACTCAGGGGGGACCCACAAACAGCCGCAACCGGCTTCATCGCTTGTCAAAGCTTCATGAATTGAGCTTTATCTTAACCTCCCAAAACCTAATTTGTTTACGGACTTATATAAGGAAGTCATAATAATATAATAAGGAACCCTGTTTTGAACCCAGACTCTGCCAATCCAACTAGCTGGGGAAGCCTTATAACCCTAAATCCCAAACCAGATTCAGTGCCTAGGCAAAACCCCGAGACCTGAAACGTTGAATCCGCCCTTAAACCGAAATTTCGGTGAGTTGCAACGGGTTTTAGTACTCACAACTGGGACAAGCCGGGCGAGGTATGCTACGGGTTTAGGCTTTAGGGCTATTCTGACTTGCAGAGTCTTTTGGAGAAAACAAAGTAACCAAAGCAGGGGACTACATTTACGGGTCTAGGTCGGCTGGGTGTCATGCTACACCTTGAAAGAAGGAATCAGAAATTCCCGAGCCTTACGGGACCCAGAAATCCTCAACGCCGTTAGTTCAGGAATAGGGTTTAGGGTTTAGGGTTTAGCCTACATTCGGTCATGTGCAGATCCGCCTGACAGTGGCAGGTCTATTCCTTAGCTCAAGGCTTTTGAGCTTGATTCAAACGTCTCGGAATCTCTACCTGGGTAAGTGGCTGAATGGCCATGACCTGCTCCACCGACTTGCCCAAGAAGGCATCGATCATGCCACCTTCAATTTTAAGGTGGCCCGGCTACTCTTTTGAGCCCTATAAACCCTACAGCACGAACTAAGCCCCGTAACTCGTAGCACTTCCGCTCTCTCATCCTGTGTAACCCGCAGGCTAGTCACCCATCATATGTAATAGAAAACACTGTGTGGTACTTTAGCCCATAATTTACGCCATGTAGTCCAACCCTCATCGGAGGCTCCGGTTTAGGGTTTAGGGTTTAGGGTTTAGGGCTTAGGGTTTAGGGTTTAGGGTTTAGGGTTTCGATCTGCAACCCCACACTGAGCCCTAAACCTTGTTCGAACCTCGAGAATTCTAAAACCCTAAGCCTCAACCTCTTAACCCCAAGCTAATATAGGGATAATAATATTTAGCATAGGGTGTTGGGGCGCATTATGCCATAACTATACTAAGGAACCCCGAAATAGTAGGCCCCTGTCTTAACCCCTAAACCCTAAACCCTTAACCCCAAGCTAATATAGGGGCAATAATAATTAGCATAGGGTTTTGGGGCGCATTATACTATAACTATACTACGGAACCCCGAAATAGTAGGCCCCTTTCTTAAGCTTCTTGGGCGTTATCACCACGCCCTACCAGCAAAGACTTTGCTAGCCGTCAAAGATAGGGTTTAGGGTTTAGGGTTTAGTGTTTAGGGTTTAGGAATAGGGCTTAGGGGCACAAAACGGTTGCTTGAGCTTTACCTAGACTTGAGTATGATAGGGAGAAATGGGAAGGGTACTGAAAGAAGGAGATGAGTAGCTGGCACGACGCCTTGCAGAACCTTTGCGAAGTTTTCAGGCATAAGCTCTGCTGGGCTGCGGCAAGGTACCAAAATTGAAGCCACGGCAGAGAGCTCTAGAGAAAGTAGCCCAATACAAGGCTTTTGACAAGTAGGGTTGTGGGAAGCTAAGCTTTATTGGCCGGAGCATCTGCATAAGCTCGCATACCTCTATTTTAAATCAAGCACAGTCTACCCAAAAACCTTTTCGAGCTACTGAATAACTTACTGAGGCCACTACATTACTGTAGGTCAAGTTTCACGTGCTTGGACACAGAAACCTAAACCGGAAACCCATGTCGGAAACCTTTACACTCCTTGCATTGGGTGTCGTGAGATGTCCCCGAAGCCTCTGATCAAGCTCGCCCACACTAAAGTTTCATTGCTCAGGGCTTCGACGAGGGTTGAGGGGTCAGGGATTAGGCTTCCCTCGACCCTAACAGTCAGCCCTAACATCGAACAGCCCCCAAAACCAGTCCTTGTACTATCAACATCTACTTCTTTGCAGGGTCCCTTTACAGTCTATGCCAGGGTCTATGATAAGAACCTACGAGCTGCAGCAAGGTAGGTCATGGTAATTTAACGTAGGCATTAGCCCCAACAAACGTCCAGTTCTTTGCACCATGTCTCGGAGAAACCCTAAACCCTAAACCCCTAAACCCTAAACCCCTAAACCCTAAACACCTAAACCCTATAAATCCCTATAAACCCTAAACCCCAACCCCTAAACCCTAAACCCCTAAACCCTATAAATCCCTATAA